CCGTGTCCTTGGAAGGGAGGTCCCAGTGCTTTACAGCAGGCTGGATTTGGTTTGACATCTTTTGGTAGACTGTCAGAGGGGGAAGGAAATTTTTGGATTACTTCAAGACCCCCCATCGGCCCCCCCCCCATTGACGTTTGCGAATTGCGGCTTTGGACATTGGAGTGTTGACTAGAGTGTGTGGAGAGAGTTGCTGATTTCATCCCTTTGAGTACTAGTTAAAAAAAAAAATTAAGTATCAGCCGGAAGAGCGAGAGCTGTTGACATTTACTTCGGTTCTGTTTGGACCTTTTGGGTACATAAAATGACGGGTTCTCTGAATCTTTTATCGAATTTAGAATGTGTGTTACATTTATTTAACTCTTCTGCAAATGCTTAAAATGAAAACATTTTGGAAATGCGAGGATTCTATCACGTGGATTGATCTCTTCATATTTAAATCTTTAATTCATATCTTTAATCCTAAACATTAAAATAGCATTGAAGAGGCATAATTTTCCAGATTAGGTGAGCTATAGAAAAAGAGACGCTTTTAAAAAATGATTCGTGAAATGCTGTTACTATTAGTTGTTGTTGTTGTTGTTGTTGTTGCTGTTAAATGTTAAGATTTACTTGAGTTTCCCTTAATTTTCTTGGTAGATTCCTATGAGAAGAAATGGGTAATTCCTTCACTTTGAATATTTACAGTACAACATTCCAGTTAATTTTAATGATTGGGATATTGAAGATAATTGGTTAAGACTGGTACTTAACCTAAGCAGCACTTGAAAACACAAATTCTAATGTTCTTCTCTTTTATTTTGGAAATTTGTGATTTTGTAAAATATTAATTAACATATTGTTTTTGTTGGGAACTCTATAATCAAAAGAGTTTACTACTCAGAGGTTGATAACCTCTCCCCAAGTTTATTTTATAAACGTGTGTTGATTTTTACATTTAAAAAAACAAAGCTGAATTAGAGTATTTCAGAATCACCTGTCGTTCAGGCTGAGCAAAATTGAGACTTTTTTCCTTTTTGTTCTGCCTAATGTCTGTTTCCTTGCGCACAATTTTTTGTTGGTAAGAGTTTGTTAAATACATAGAGATAGTGGGATTAAAAATAAAGCAGTCTCTATTCGCTTTAAAATGTATGTGTAGTGTCAATAAAAGGACTCAAGAAATCTAGGGACATTTGTAATGTTTTTAAATATAAGCAATTTTTGAGAAGGGGAATGTTTATTTTTGACAATTTTTTCATTAACATGGATATTCTGCATATTAATTTGCTGTATATTATGTTTCATTTTCCTTTGTCTTTCCTACATTGTCTTGAAATTATAAATTTAGTTTTACAACTATTTGTTTTAAAGTAACAAATTCAAGCAGCTGGACACTAGAACAGGCTTTTCACTCATCAAATTAGTATATTGTTTAGATAATTAACAAATGACTACAAGTCTCTTTAAATCTACTAATTTTCTAAAGGATTTTCAGTGTTACGATGCACATATGACTTTGAAATTTTATTTCTAAGGTTCTAAACTTTTTGTTTTAAGAAGACTTTTCTGCAAGTTAATAGTCATTCTTCCTAGACTGCCTTTTAAGGCTACTGTACACTATAGACTGAGAAAACTGTCTTTCACCGCCTTAATTTGAGAAAAAGCCCACACTTACAGGCTTATCCTGAAATTAACTCTCTTGTTTCAGTAGTGAAGATATGCTAAATATCCAACCTATCGTTGAATTATGTTGGAAAAGGTTTTATTAGTCTTGTTCGCTTTTTTAGATACGTGTATAAAGTAGGAGAGAAGCTGGCATACAACGGCAGAAATTTTAAATAAGTACATATTTATGTGGAGAGGTCCGAGTCTCCTTCGTTTGCTGATTTGAGCTTAAAATTCCCAGTTTAGGTGTGCAAATGATATTTAACTTGTGTTTTTACCTAGAAACTTCATCAGTTGCCTCTGCGCTGGGGAACTAAGACATCAGTTCCTGGAGGCAGTTGCTTTTTCAGAAAGGGTACTTCCAAACTCAAACTTCTTCAGAACCCCTGGACATAAATGTTTAGGGCGGAGGGAAGAAATTTAGACTAGGAAATTGGGCCAGGAAGGCGGGCAGTTTCCAATTGTAGTCTTCTGTCCCGAGGGCAGCGATCAGCAGCTCTGAAGAACGGCAGGGACTGGCAGCCGAGCCCCCTCATCGCATTCTCATTGACCTTCTTGCTGCCCTGAGTTCTCATCAGGGCGCAGGGGCTGGGTTCAGCGCAAGGCAAACCCATGAGGAAGAGCAGCAGCCCTTCTGGATTGGACTTCACCAGATTTTAGCCTCAGTTTACCAGCGGGAGCGTAACGCCCCACCCCATTGTGTGAAGATCCTGCTATTCAGCCATTTAGCGTCCCTGGAGGGGCCGGGGTCTATCCAGGGTCCTGATCGCTACTTTGCGAGCCTAAAGGAGCTACTGCTTCTTCACACACGTATTTTTGTGCAGTGGGAAGTACTTCAAAAGTTCCTATGCCCTCTTCTCAAAAGATTTGCTGATAGGGGAGGTACAGAAAAAACAGCATGGAAGGAGTCCTACCCGGTGCTAGAAATTGCCCCCTATTTAAGGGGCAAAAAGCCAGCATTTTTGTCTCTGAATGGGCCTCCCCTTCTGGGAGTTATTTCAGGGACCACTGGACACGGGTGGTTCTGAGACTGGTTCACAGAACTGCCCCACTTTGGTCTTTAGTGGCCAGGGTGCCTTGCTTTTTTTTTTTTAAAGTGGAAAGTAGCAAACTGAATGGGGCTTTAACTAAGAGAAAAAAGAGCGTGAATATCTAGCAGGAAGATTTGCCCAGGCGGTAAAAGGAGATATTGGGGGCTTTGAGGGCTCAGGCATTGACAGTACTTTATGCCCTAAACTGCTTTTGGTTTCTTGACTGTTAGTCCTCTTTTCTGTTTTCTAGGAAGCTAGGCACCGATGTACTCAGTTGTCTCTAGGGCTAAAAGAGAGGGAGGCAAGTCTCCTTACTCTTTTTGGGAAAAGAGGAAGATGCTCAGAGGGAATGGAACCCACAGATGGAATAAGCACACTTTTTTTTTTTTTTAATCGATGGAAGCAGCAATCTGTGCTTGAGAAAGCCAGGGGTAGGGCTGTATGGTCTGTATCTTTCCAGCCCCCTGTAGGAAGTGATGCTGAGAGTATAGGAGCACTAACAGGGGGTCCCCTGGAGATAGGCCTTAGCTTTTCCACAGTGCCAGGACTGCAGATTGCAGCAAGGGAGTCTTGAGTATTCACTGCCCATCTGGGAAACAGGCCCTAGAGTATGCATCAGATCTAGTAAGAAAGAAAGAAAGTATTTTTGAATCCCTTTCTGAGACCAGAGAAGACCCCTTTTAGCTGTCACTGTCTAAAGACTCATCGATTGATTGATGGTCAATAACCAAGCTGTTTGCATGCAAACCAGCAGTCATTTAATGCTTTACTTTTGGGGGGTGGGGGCTCTCCTTGACACATATGAGTTTCTGGGAGGAAGAGTAAAAGGGGCGAGCGAACCTGCTTTAATGAATCCCGTAAGAAACTGCGTTTCCCAGGAAATTCCTGACATTTTTAGCTCATGAATTTCCGAAAGCCTGCTTGGTTTTCTTCTCCATTCTGGGTCCTTCCAGAGAGGAAGAAGAGTGGGCTGGGGTCTGAATGCTTGACAGGGCCTGGTTTATCCGCAGAGCTGGCCGGCAACCTAGGCTGGGCTCAGCCCTGAGCAGGGTGCCCCTCTTCCCCAAATCTCAGAAGGAGGAGGGGAAGGCACGCAGGCAGTCATAGTCCCAAGGGGGGCTGGCTGCAGGTTTTTGGGTGAGTGTGGGGTTTCTTTTTGATTGTTGTTTGAGGGGAAGGGCAGGGCCGACGGGAGTAGGCACTGCGGGCACCCCGGCCCTGGTGCGTCTACTGTCCTCGGCTCGGCTCGGCTTCCCCCCCGCCGGTGAGTGCGCCCGCCCGACTGTGCGGGGCTGCGGTTGGGGGGAGGGGGGAGCGGGATCATCTGAGGCCAGAGCCGCTGCCGTGTGCGCGGGGAGGGGGAGCGGCGGGAGCGAGGGGAGGGACAGGCTAGGTGTCTGCTGCTCCGCGCCACTGCTGCCGGCACCCCGTCCTCATCCCCAGCAGGCCCCCTGTGCAGCTAAGGGTTACCACCGCACCACCTCTTCCTCGCCTGCCTTTGCGGCCAGGGCTCTGCGGTAGGCGACAGCCCAGTCGGATGGCGGGCGGGCCTGTCTGGGTTTGGGTCTGGGTCTAGCTGAGGCCCGCACAGGAGGGGTGCCCGTGACTCGGTGTCCCCTCTCTGCAGCGGGCTCTGCTGCGCTGCACAGGCCCCTCCCCCATCTCCTCTTTGGGGTTACTGGAAAGCGGGGCTTAGGCCCGCTCCTCATGTTTAGTACAGCAGTCCCCCTCACACCCCTCGTCTCCTAACTCCCCGGGCTGAGGCTGCCCAGGGTCTGGCCAACAGCGACAGCCACTGTGGTGGTGGTG